GGAAATTGCGTACTGATGCTGAAAAAACTGCTGCCATAAAGTAACGACCCCACCTTTCACAGTTATAGGTACACTGCTGGAACTGAAATGTCTGGCGGCAGAAGTCAGTAAATTTGGATGCTTTAAGGCCTTGCTGCAGCTCCAGCAGGGAGGATTCCCCTTGCTGGTCACCAAAAGTCTGACGAAATAGTTCAATTTCAGCTTCATTGTCAGTCCTCATGAACTTTCCTACCAGACTTGCACTCAAGTTTTTTCCATGTATTTTATAAATGCAGTCATTTAGAACATAATACTGTTCTGAGGCCACTTCCTCTCTAGCACTATAGCGGATCTCCACAAGAAGGTCTTGTATGTTGGAGATATGTTTAAGGACAATGCTGTTCTCTTCTGTCACTTCAAGCCAAACAGCTTTCAGATGGTCGTTTTTGGGGATATAATCTGGAGCGCGTCTTTTTTCATTTTCCTCAAAGAACAAACTCCAAGTGAGCCCCTCCAAGCAGTCAATAGAAGGGTACTTTTTGCGCAGCTCCATTGGGACAAACATTTGAGGATATCTTGGCCACTCTAGACTTTTAAAATACAGAACATTTCCTTTATAATTTGGAAATACTGAACCTGCACAGCCAAATGTTTGCCTTGTCAACAGGTCACTTGTTGGGCTGAGTTCAGCAATGACTCTATTGCTGTAGTCATGGGACCTCCAGACACCCCCTTGTCCACTCATTATCCCCCCATCAGAGGAGACTGATATGAGTGTCTTGTGTAGGTGCAGCTTTGTTGCCACATTCAGCGATTGGAGACCTCGAAGCAGCTTCAGGGCAAAGTTCTGGTTATTTCCAAGGTTGCAGCTGATTAGACTGATGGTGTCAATCAGATCAATGAGGGTGTCTGTCTTCAGGCTGGATACCAATCTGGCAATTTCCTCTGCACCATAACCAGACAAGCAGAGTTCTCCTGTGGAAGCCTCTCTACCATGGCCAACAAGTACAATATCACTTCTAATTTTAAGCAAATGACCTCCTCTTAGCATATGCAGTACTCCCTTGTGGTACTTCATCAAAGTGGATGAATATGGATTCCTCTCAAACAGAGAAGTAGCTGATTCAATCACAGCAGGGTCTTCCTCCATTATAATGATAGTCTGGTGGCTGGAAATATGGCCATCTTCCCTAAAGGTCACATGAGATTTGTTAGACAGCCACCTTGTGTTTAATGTTTTGTTTCATTCACAAAATCTATACTTATATGTTGAATGGACTTTGATACAAAGTGGTACTGTTTAAAAATGCAAATCAGTATTTGCATTTTTAAACAGTGCCACTGTTTTACCAGATATTTCCAGATTTAAATTTAAAAAAGACTAGCACTGTCTCATAGCTTACCTGTCTCGGGGGATGAAGCTTGGGTGTGTTCTCTCAAGTTTCCAATCTGAAATTATACATTTAGATGTGTAGTAAAGTATCTTCTTTTTCAGTTTATGGTAAAAAGATGTCAGAAAAGGAAAATGGAACAAAACCTCAGCTGAAATTAAATGTGAAAGAACATAGTGTTCACATCGAGCGTATTTGTGGGGGAAAAAAAACTTTATTTCTGCTCAAAATGATCTGTTACACCAAGTTTAAAAAAACCATAATGACATCTTCTGTTTTACTTTCAGATAGTTAATATTTGCATACCAGTTGTGGTTAGAGCTAAAACACTTAATCGCTCCACATTTTCAGACACCATTTTGAATGTGCAGTTCTGCTCAGGAGCGCCAGAGGTCCTCATTTTGTCAAACTTAAATTGTTGGTCACTCTACTGTTTGGACGAACCGGAGAGGAGCTGCTCAGTCACCTGTGAGTGGAAATCATTTGGCTGTTTCCATGGTCAACGTGTCATTTTTGGTGTAATGTTAAGTCAAAGAGATTTTTTTTCTCATTGTCAACCTGATCAAATTCCTTATAGTAGGATTTTTTTTTTTCGGTAGGAAACATAAAGCTTTAGTGAAAGCACTTTAGACTGCTGTCATGTTCTTTTATATTTTTAAAAGATAATTAAAGTTGTTTAGAATCAATTTATGATAGATTGGAACCAACTACTGCTGTGAGTCTGTGAGGCTTTTTTAAGGATATTATTTAAGGACTGAGATCATTTTGTGATACAGCAGAAGGACGACGACTCTATGTCGTCCTTCAGGTAAGCAATGAGTTATTTTCCTCTCATTTAACTTTAACACACTGTTGTGGTTATAGTGCATGGCAAACAACATTGAAGAATAAGCAGTCCATATGCCTTCATAAATCAGTCTTTATAGGACACATGTGTGATATGTGTTGTGTGACCTTGTATTTGATACATTGAAAGCCCCATTTTCCCAAAAAATATTATTTTGAGAAGACATAACATAGTATTTCAAGGCCCAACAACTAGATCCTGAAAGAAGAAGCAGTGTTTCTACATCAGGCGTTGGTTAAGGTTTAAATTGAATTCAGGGTCAGGGTTAAGCACGTACTGATAACATAATAGAATGCCTGAGTTAGGCTGTAGAAATTAAGAAAAAAAATTAATTGGGATCAGTGCTAAGTATACTTCTTACGTCCAGAGCGTTTGCACTAATCAACTAACACTGGCAGGTGAAAACACAGCATGGTTCCAAAAATGACCTCCATTTACATTTACGGTAAATGTGAATTGATCAAAGGTTTCCTCATGAAGTCATTTTGTTATTGGTTACTCTCATGTTTGCAAAGTCTACATTTTCTAAAAGATTTTATCAAATGATCCAAGCAAAAGCAAATATGAAAAATCAAAACAAATCCACATTTTGTTTATTCAGAAAGTAAAAAGAATCTTACCAGCACTCCACCCCTTAGCTAAAGACAGCAGAACAATAACGGCACAAAATCCATAGAGTTGCATCATGGCACTAGCAAAATGTGCAGCAAAGCTGGTCAGTCACAATGAATTCATAAGGCAGAGAATCTTCAGGTCATGTTGCAATGTAAATTTGGTTAGATATGAATGTAAATGACCAGGTGGCTGTTCATCAGTTAATGTAAAAAAGCTGCCTATTTGCTTATAACATGGCTCTATTTCATGATAGCTCATTTGTTACTTAATGTTTGCGTTTGATTTTGTGATCATGAATATCAAATGATATTGGAGGTTTGAGAAAATTTGTAATCTACAATGATGAAATATTACTGTCTTATTGTCTATTATTATGTCATTAAACTTTATCTGATGGTTTTAAGAAGTTATGAGTATGACAAATTATGTGCAGAGAAAGTGATACATTGGATTCCACTATTTCATTAAATGATATTTTTCTTGGACAATCTATGTACTTAGTAATTAATGAACACAATTAGCTGATGGAAATCTTCTCCACACACACTTTATGCCTCCCTGCCATCGACTGGGCCCTGAAAGAAGAAGCAGTGTTTCTGGGTCAGGGAAGCAGCACTTTCCCTGGGTTAGGGCCATATTTCTAGTGAACATGGGTCACTAGAAATTTGCACATAAAAAGCTGTATGTTGCATCAAAGATTTCAAAATAAATTTGGAATGACAAGGTTATTAGGGTTGCCCTAATAACCTTGTCACAAACTGGCAACCTGTCCAGTGACTGATAGAGACATTGAGCCTCCCAGTTTCAGTCCAGTGTTCCCAATACCAGCACCCTGCCATCTTGCGAGAATAAGCACATAAATGTAAAAGATGGATGAATTTTTAAAGTTATTATGATCCTTGATTCTTTGAACAATTTTTATGACACAGTTTTGTTTTTCTAGTCAGCGGTCTTTCACAAACACCATAGAGGGATTCGTAGTTTTGCTCAATGCCAACCATGAGTCAGCATTTTCATGTTTGACACTAGAAGGGACACAGCCTGTAACCACAAGGCTGTTTCCAGGTCACTGCTAATCCTCTCCAAGCTTCTTTTCTCCTTATTAGCCATCTTACACACTCCATTCCTCACTGCACTCACTGTAAAACTCCTCAAAGTTTTATTCCTTGCAGTGGTTCTTTCCTCATACTGCTGTGTGAACCTTCATTTGGAACCTATTCTGGAATTTCATAGGAGCCATAACTGGGAGCCATGCAGGTGAAAGTGATACGTTGACATTGGGATGAAGTTGAATGGAGAAGTGGCGTTACCTTTGAAAAGAACCAAGAAGGTACTGTCTTCCAACAAAGACCTTTTGTTAGTCGAACACCAACAGAGAGCTGTGCAGAATGGTTTCATCAGCTCCATTACAACAACTCATTTGTGTGTGGAGATAATGAAGGAGGTGAAAATTTAAAGAAACTGCGGAGATATTGTGTGGAGGAAGTCAAATTAATAATTCTTCAGACAACTTTGCAGGAAACAAGCTACTCAACACAAGGTACTCACACATTCAGTTTGTGACCAATTTAAAAACATTGTAACATGTCCTGGACTTAGAAACAAATCAGTACCGAGTAGGTGCTCGTTCTAAGTCTCTATTTATTTTTTTTAATTTTGAGATCTTCAGTTGCATGTCAGCATACATTAGACATGTTTACTGACATGCTGGTCTCAAAGACATACAGAAAAGAAAACCTATAGTTTTTTTATTACTGTACTTTTCCCAAGCTTTCTATTTCTAAGTAAAATCCTCCTAACTCTCCTCATGTCAGGCTACTTTTGACAGAACTTTAACAAAAATGTAAATATTTAAATTAAAATAGCGTTAACTGGGTTTCCTTGATTTCTTAATGCATTTCTTTTTAGATCGGAATAAGATACTTACAGAGACTTACAATTCATGCAAACCTCTGTCATTAGACATGACTTGATTTGCACTGGAGGTAAAGGCGTTGCTATCCTGGCAGGTAAAAGGTGAGAACATTGTTTGACGAGATGTGTTTCCCCAAATAGCAAAAGACCCTAACAGGAAGAGAAAGGCAGCTGTGGTCAAGAGCCCTAAACAACTGACTGAGTCATCTGTTGGACTGTAAGTATTTTAAGAGTTTCTCACCCTTTAATTTCATCCGAGTTCAACTACTTAATCCTGCCAGGGTTTTCATTATGTTGGGGGTTGTTTAGTACACACTTACACTTAGTGAGATTTAGAGTGCTAATTAACATGCGCAGTTTAAGGCTGTGGAAGGATTCCACATCAAGCATGTAGAGAACATGGAAGTACAGAAAGATCTGCAAAAATCTGTCACCTTGAGTCCTGCTTAACCTCTCCATGTTGTCATAGCATTGTCCCACATTATTTTTAGCATCAACCTTACATTACTTAAACTAATATTAATAGTAAAAACAATATCTGTAGCTTACAATGGAAATTGGTCCCATAGAACTATTATGTTTTTGTTTTTTGTGATTTTGTTTTCACGCTTTTGTTGATTCACACTGAGAGATTCATTATCGCCCATCACCATCTAGAACTTACTCCTATTTAGTAGCCGTGAAGAAACCGTCGCATACCCACACACCTTCTGCCTGATGCCACATGTTGATGTGTCCCTGGGGATGGAAAGAACCACATACTTTCATCACTGTAATCAAGTACAATTTGTATGTACTTTTTATCAGTTACTTGTAATTATAATCTGTATTGGTTGAAGCTGAAAACAGAGGATCAGGTTCTTAGTTTAGAGTTAGTTATTTAAAACTGTTTAAGTACTTTTTACTGTTATTTGATTATCAATCTACACTCTTAATTTTACTTGTATTTAAGTAAAATCTTCAAGTGACTGTATTTTAACTTGAGTGCATTATTTTTGTACTCTTTCCACCTCTGAGCAAACATTTAGCGCTCATGACATTTTTTCCTTCAGGAATACTTTTTTTTTATGAAGGTGTCTTTTCTTTTACCTCTGTCAATGCTTTGATATGAAACAGCTTATTGCACATAGTGGCAGAAATATTTTGTGGTTACCACCAGGTTTCAGCTGGTTTCTTTGCTTTCTCTTCCTTTTTGTACATCCCTTTCAGAAAAAAATTGATGTGATTTAGATCTTTTTTCAACACTAAATTCTTTCTGAAGAACCCCAGGAAGGCTCTTTTTGTACCTTACATGAAGAGAGATAGATAATAGCCAGCAAAATAACAAGCAAAACACAATCATAAGTCTGTAACGATGTGTTACTGTTTGTGAGACAAAACTGTCAATAATTTATTACCTTGCTCAACTTCTTGGTTTATTGGCCCATTCCGTGCACAGCTGTGCCTCTGGACTGCAGTGAGAATAGCATGATGTCAGACATCACACCGAGATGAAGGAGAGGAGAGAGGTCGAGGGCAAGAGAAACAAAAAAGTCTGTGGTGTGTCTGCAGCAGTTTTTTTCTACTATTACTGCAGAGGTTTCTTAGAATGTCCTGCCAAAGGGCAAAATATAAAGTGTTCCATTAAATATCTTGTTGTCAAACTATACAAAATCAATAACTTTTTGATGCATAAATTTGACCTGTGAAATTTTCTTGAAAGTAATATTAAAATGTCGTATTGTCTGTCTCGTCTTTCAGGTATCGAAACAGACAGACGGACAGACAGACGGGTAGGTAGGTAGGTAGGTAGGTAGGTAGATAGATAGATAGATAGATAGATAGATAGATAGATAGATAGATAGATAGATAGATAGATAGATAGATAGATAGATAGATAGATAGATAGATAGATAGATAGATAGATAGATAGATAGATAGATAGATAGATAGATAGATAGATAGATAGATAGATAGATAGATAGATAGATAGATAGATAGATAGATAGATAGATAGATAGATAGATAGATAGATTGTGTACACTGAACTTATTGAAAACTAGCGTCAGTTGGAATTAATTGAAAGTATATTTTGTGAAATACATTGAAATGACATTTGTTATAATTTGTGTAAGTAAACTAAACTGAATTGAATAATTCGTTCACAAATGCAATGTTTGGATTTGTAGAAAAAACGCAGCTGAACATCCAATAGCAGGTCTTGATTCCGTCCTCCTCCTGCAGCACGTTCTCAACAACTTCCGGTTTTCCAGCCGCTGTCGTAGCTATCAGCAACTGCAGATACTTTGTGCTCACCGTGGGTAGTTTCGGGCAGATTGACCAGGAGATCCGCTCTGCGGTTTGCTTATGGCTGCAGGTTAACCTCGCAGGATCAGCCAGACAGCAGGAGGCAGCGATGGAGAAGAGAAGAAAAGAGAAGAGAAGAACCACAGTAAGACCAGGCTGAACTACTGAAACATACAGAATGTCACAGCGTTGTTTTGCAATAATAATCATAACAACAATAATTATTATTATTATCATTATAATAAAGGTACAGAAACCACACGGAATCAAATGAGCAGATGTTGTTGGTGTGAAGTTTAAAGGTAGCACTTTGCGCTTAAGGCCTTCAGACTGTGAAGCAACACAGTGATCATCTCAACTCACGTGTTTTAGCAGCTTAACACACTTTATAGAAACGCACAACAATAAATCCTTGTGCTGAGCTCACTGCTTCTAACACTGGACAAGTTTACAGAAAACTTTGTTCCACAGAGTGTTATCTAAAACATCCGCTAGGGGGCGCTCCAGCTCGCTCTGACCAGACAGCCCTACCTGTATTTAAAATAGAATAGAAACATCCTTTATTGAAACTTGGGGAAAATTCTGAGCAACAGCAGCGAAGTGAGCCAGGCAATCAAAGTAAAGTCGTGTGACTCAATATTTAAAAACAGAATAGAAAAAAAACAAGGGCAAAATTTTAACATAAATACTGTGTAGATTGTGAGAAACCTTCATTTTTATTATCACACAAGAAACAGAGAAAGAGTCCTCATACACCACAGTTGCCCAGATGCTGCAAAGCAAGCTGATGCTGCTGCTTGTTTTCCAACTACACGCATATTTTATTAGAATAACATGGCATTTCAAATGTTACCCTGGACTCTGTTTCAGGAGGAATCATCTTGAATGACCATGAAAACCAACTTAAAATGAGAATTTATTAAAGCCAAATAAGTGATCATATGGTTTTGAAAAGACAGAGAAACAACTTACCATTTCAGTGTTGGTCCATCATTATGCTTCTTTATGGCTAACACAGGTTAGCAGCTTCTGGTTTCTTTTCTAGGTCTCTTTTTATCCACCCTCCTCATTTGCATAATGAGGCAGAAATGCATAAAGAAAAGTAATAGAAAATGAGACATGGTAAGAAGAAGAAACACTTGTATAAGAAAAAACAAAAAAATTACCTAATTTTATGCTTTTACTTTTTATTTTGTAAGTTTTGTAATGTCTCTGGAGTGAAATTCCCAACATTCATTTGAAGGTTGTGCCTTTATTCCTGACAAGCAAGTCCAGATGTGAGACAAACTTGTTAACTATTGTATTAAAGACTGCAGGTAAATAAAGCAGCAGCATTAACAGTCATTTTGTAATAATCATGAATAATTATTAAACACAGAGCTTCTGTGCTTCTTCTAAGTTGATTTTACTGATAAGAACATTTTGAACATCATTTTAAACACTATAATAAACAGTAACAATTTAGTAAACAAAACAGCAAATTATGTGTTGTGTCTCTGATTCTGTTGCAGGTCTGAAGATGATTTGAGATTCCAGTATAGCTTCATTTCCTCCCTGCTAAGAATCTGAGGGTGTGTGTGATGGTCATCTAACCCAGTGCTCGCCTTCTGACTGTCCATGTCATCAGAGCCAATGGGCTGTCACTGCCTGCTGCGTCTCTCTGTAACCCTCCTGGCTTTGCTGAGCCCATGCCTGACCAGGCTGACTCCCAGAGTCTCCTTCCCAATGGGTGAGTGAAGCCTCGTCTTTGTGTCCCACATGATTGATGGTCTGATACTGGAAGACAGCGAACGCTTTACCCTTCACCATCAGGAATGAAGCACTGTGCCTCTACGTGAAGTGAAGAGCCGAACAGAGAAGCTGTGTTAGGCACAAACAGTTTAGGGCGGCGTTATTATGTTGAAATGACTTTTTGGAGCTTTGCATCAAGTTATTCCCTCAACAAAATGGAGTGTTCCCTCATTCTTTCATGCATGTTTGAGAAATTGTAGCTGTGCAAAAGTCTGGACCAATTAGCAAAAACCTGGTTGAACTACTCAGAATACAAGCTACTTCTCTGTGCAATGCTGGTAAACACATTAAAGTGTTAATAGAGAAACAATTCTGTGACGACTTCCTGAAACGCAGACTGTTTCGGAAACAGTCTGCGTTTTTAAAGAGATAAGAGCCCAAGTTTAAGGTTTTAAATTAAGATCATTTTAGTTATAAAATCTATTTACGAAGAACTATATAACTGAAACCTACCACTTTCAGAAAATGGAAATCATTGGAATTATGATGGTGAATAGGACAACATTTATCACCTGATACTTAGATTTTAAAAAGCCCAAATCTGCTTTGAGTTAATTTGTTAAACCTGACTTAACAAATTAAAGAGAATGACCCACATCCTGGTCTTATTGCAGAAAACAGGGTGAATATTTTTTCATCTGAGCCCAAAATAATTTACAAGCAGTATTTATTTCTTTTAATAATGTGAACAACTCATTCTACAATGATTTAAACAACCATGCTTTCAGACAAACAACCTAACTTCTTTAAAATTATTGTATAATTTGTTTATCGTTGAGCACCAAAAAAATACTGTAAATTTTTTGTGGTTTTAAACATTTTCTTGTCCAGTGAGTACTTTTGACTTGACAATTTTGGTCCATGTTACAAAATGTTTGGACGCCACTGATGTAGATGAGTTAAATGGACCTTTTAGTGGTTTCATTAAATTAATTGATGATGTTCCATCCAGTAAAACATAGGCTGAATGATAGAGTGTAGTAAACTAGTTACAGTATAAGGGATGAAACAATGTGACAGAATACAGAACTCAAAATGTGTGCAAAATGTCAAAACATTTAGTTTTTCTCTGGAGGCGAGTCTGTACATCAGGATGACATGTATTTCTGTTATATTGATTTCAATATTCCTCATTTTTTTGTTGTTTTTTTCTTTCTTTATAATCACACAACTATCCTGAGCTTTTGTGTCACAGCCATCAGCAATGTTCATCAGGTCTGGACATTGAAGGCAGTTTGTCCATCTAACTGGCCAAGTATATCGCTGAGATGTAGAGCATAAATGCATGACACATCAATTCTAGCAGTTTACCAAATATTGTTCCAAAACTGTTCTTAGTGACACTTACATTGCGATGAGGATTCATTCAATATGCTGTGTAGAAAACTAGCTAAGATTCCATTTTTAAAAGTTTTCCTGCATACCAAGCTGTTGATTTATTGTTCAGTAACTTTGCATCCATCATTTTTAGTCTTTCTTCATCTCATTGATGCTTTTCTGACTTCTCTGACATGATAAACTTCAATATCATGGAAGGTTTTGTTTGGTCTTCTGTCCAGTAAGAGGCCCCATCTGTTGACACCTTAAGCTCTTTTATTCTGTTCTTAACTGAGATGTGTTGCTCTGTGTTAAATGACAGGTAGCCCAGGGAGACGTCTCACCAGCTTCAGCAGCCATGACCTCAGTAACACCACAACCCTGCTTCTCAGTGAGGATGGAGAAAAGCTGTATGTAGGAGCTCGTGATGCGGTGTTAGCGCTGGATGTTGGTCATAAAGACAGTGTCCTTCTGAGGAGCAAGGTGAGGGAATCAACAAAAAGTTCTTGAGGCCGATGTAATGATGTACTTGTGTTTTATAGCCTAACATTTTTTGTGTTTTTTGTTTTGTATTTGTGGCTGCCTCTTGGCCAGGACTCTCTGGAAAAGAGATTTATAATCTCAATTATTTTTCATCCTGGTAAAATATAGATTAAATGAAATAAGATGATCCCTGTTTGTCTGCTGACCGTTGCAAGAACTTATTACTGCCTCTAGTTTTGATGTAGAAAAGTGAAATTGAGGCTGGAAAGTTTCACTCTGTCTCCATATGAATCTCCAACTTAAGTGAGAAGTAAAGAGCCCTATTCTGCAGAAAATGAGAGAAATGTAATTTTTGAATGCCGAGATGGTTTTCATTTACATCCTCTGTGAAAGAAAAAAAAACTGAACTGAACTGTTTATAGTTACCCCAAACACCACTGTCTGGGCCATGAAATATAAAAACAGTTTTACTCAGTTTTTTGTTGGTGTTTTTTTTTCTCCAGGATTTCAAGTTGAGCGGTAACTATATCTGAGCAGGTAGATAAGGAGTGTCTAAAGTGCAATCTAGGGGCCATTTGCGGCCCACCAAAATAGGTAATTGATGCAGATGGGGAATTTTCTTTTCTTTAATTAGACCAAAATTAAGACTGACAAATTCCATTTTTCTACAATGGAATTTATTAAGTACAACACAAAGTATTTGTTTTTAACAACCATGCTTTCTGTTTAATTTGATGGTGAATAGGACAACATTTATCACCTGATACTTAGATTTTAAAAAGCCCAAATCTGCTTTGAGTTAATTTGTTAAACCTGACTTAACAAATTAAAGAGAATGACCCACATCCTGTCTTATTGCAGAAAACAGGGTGAATATTTTTTCATCTGAGCCCAAAAAATTTACAAGCAGTATTTATTTCTTTTAATAATTGTGAACAACTCATTCTACAATGATTTAAACAACCATGCTTTCTGACAAACAAGCTAACTTCTTTAAAATTATTGTATAATTTGTTTATCGTTGAGCACCGAAAAAAATACTGTAAATTTTTTGTGGTTTTAAACATTTTCTTGTCCAGTGAGTACTTTTGACTTGACAATTTTGGTCCATGTTACAAAATGTTTGGACGCCACTGATGTGAGAGAGTTAAATGGACCTTTTAGTGGTTTCATTAAATTAATTGATGATGTTCCATCCAGTAAAACATAGGCTGAACCCCATGTTCAGTTTCCTTTGGGAGTCACAATTTCACCATGCAAAGTCCCACTACAGTTCATGACAAAACAGTGAACCAAAGGCTGAGCTGTTTGCAATGTAACAATGCCAAACACTGGTCACTAATATCACTATGTCATGCAATGCCGCAACATATAAAGAACAACAGGTCAGTGGTGATTAGAGGCCATCCGTTCACCTGAAGCCGAAGCCTCTGGTAATCTGACTCAGTCCTCATCAGCAGTTCGGAGCAGAAACTAAACACTGAGCTGTTTGATACCGAAGGTTCTGGATGGTTTAGGATAATCTGAGATGCTTCAGGTTCTGTTCTTTGAGTTTTTTATTTTAACTGATTTGCTTCTGAGAATTTCTGAAAATGTATGTTTTCTTTTTGTTACTCTTACATTATAGGATCATTGTTGCAGGGAAGCAGCCTTTTCCCTTTTTCCTAAACCAGCAGTGACATAATAATTGTTGCCTTTTGTTGCACTCTCTGGTGATTGATGTGGATATTACACTCATATTGAATCTTGTTTTTTGTAGCTGGACTGGAGCCCTTCAGAAAAAGACCTAGAAGAGTGTTCCATGAAGGGCAAGAAAATGGCAAGTGTTGATTTGCAGTTATGCACAAAATTCCAGTATGGACTATTAACTTTCCGTTTTCATTTAATCCCAAGGTATCAATGATTAAAAACACATTTAAATGATTACAGTGACAGTGTAATTATATCATTCATGTCATTCTCTCCATTCCAAAAAATTACTGACATAAAATATCATCATAATTTTTGAAATCATGACAGTCATATATTTAAATAAAAGTGTGTTAATAGATATAAATGTAACAGATGTGTGTGAGAAAATTAAAATCTCTTCATATTTTCATTCTGACCTTGCATTCTGAAAATGTTATTCCATCAGAGTCCACTGTCGTGACTTCAATAGACTATTTTCACTGTCATTTAAAATCTACAGCTGCAAAAATCATCCAGGCTCATCAACCTGCATACAGGGCTTATATTTTCACTGCACAGGCTCTTTACTGTTTTAATGTGTTCCACAAATTAAAACATCTCATGGCACCCAAATGGCTAGTGCCGTTTGACCATCGCTATAGTAACAGATATAGTGGAGCTCTCATAAGGTTCTGACTGATGGGTTAGTTATCAGTGGGAAATTGGTTTTACAGAATCATCTCAACTCTAACTTTTCTGTTTGGATTTTTAAGGCGGACTGTCCCAATTTCATCCGAGTTCTGCAGTTCTTAAACAGCACTTCCATGTACGCGTGTGGAACATTCGCCTTTAGTCCACGCTGCACATATATTGTAAGTTTTTATGCTGCCATATCTCTGCTGTGACATCAATTCATTTTATTCAGTTACAATGAAGGACAAACCTCTGCAGCTGTTTTCAGATGATTGGATTTGTAACACCATGAGTTTAGAATGTTGACATTTTCACAACATAACATTTTCTGATGCATTGAATTTTGTGTTTTCATATGCAGGTCAGCCATAGTTACCAAAATTACACGAATATGCTTGAACTATTTCACTCCATGTATAATAAGACCATTCTAATACAAGAGTTTTGCTTTTGGAGATCAGTGACATTTTCACAATATTGTGAATGAAGGAAACACGTCCATGTGCAAGATCATCACACCACGATGTCACTTGGATTTCTTAAAATCCTTTAGCTGATGACTTTTGACTTTTGTGACCAGAACTCACAGACGCTCACAATGAGTCTCAACACTGATGAAGGGAGAGGTCGCTGCCCTTATGACCCCTACCAGCGCAACACTGCTATTATTGTGGGTAAGGCAATGCTGCAACTGCTTCACTCTTAGACATTTAACATAAAATCTATCAGTCATTTTTATGGTCTCTACTAAACAGAGCAGACTCTACTCACCTTCTAAAGATGTGTGTGTGTGTTGGAGGTTTTATTGTTTCAACGTTAGTGTTCACTCGCTCCTTTTTCTTTATTCAGACCTCAAGAAATGAACAAATTTAACAAAGAAATCCAGCCTATCATCTACTGTTTTTATTTTACTTTACAGTTGTTAGAAGACAGCACACTAAGTTAGACCTGAGTTAAATCATGTCTTCTTTTATTTATTTTACCAGAAAATGAAGAATATATTTTGCTGAAAGACACAGAGAAAATCAGTTTCTCAGTTTTGTTGACATTGATACCGAATCTGCCTTTAAAATGAAAACAAATCATCAGCTTTTCTCTGACACACTTTGATATAGTAAAGTTGACTGCTTTCCAAAAATATTGAAACTCTAAAGTCAATGAAACCATGCTGCAAGAAAATACGTCTTTTCCTGGTAACTGATGCAAAAATAGTCTATCCTGTAAGAAAAGCATAACATAAAAATGAATCTGGTGTTGGCTACTGTGTATTGTGTGTGCTACTCAGGGGGAGAGCTTTACACCGGCACAGTGGCGGATTACAGAGGGAATCGACCAGTCATCTCCCGACACCTAAGTGAAGGCAGCCGGGTGGACCTTAAATTGGATGACACATTAGGATGGCTGGAGGGTGTGTGCACTGACTCTCATCCTGACACATTTCAAAGTAATGCAGTTGTACTCCGGCTCACTGATAAGTAAATACACTTTGGCTTAACCTTCCAGGATGCTGCTTTGTTGTTATGTGCCAAGTCTAAAGCCAGCTTAGACAGTTTGCAGCTGATGATAGTCTGTGGAATGCTGTTCATTCCAATGGTCTGGAGCAACAGCTTCAACATGTTGCTGATCTGGGTCCAGTCTGCAGCATACACAGGCAAAGGCGTGAAGAAATCCTACTGTACTTTCACAGATTTTTATTGAGTAAAAAAGATGCACATCTGTTCCATCATTTAAAAGGCCAAAGTCAAAGTTCTCAACCTGATCTGTCAGAATTTGTTTAGGTCACAGTTAATGTTTTTTCCTGTCCCACTTTTTACAAAAGGCTGCAGCTGCTTTAACTGTTTCATTATTCTGGTGCCTCAGCATTAGACACTAACAGCATGTTTAGTGTTTGGCTGCCTTTTGCCAATACAGAGCCCCTCTGACTCTGTGTCTCTATGGGGTAGACTTCTGATATAAGGATTTTTGTAGCTAGTTCTCATGCTAATATTTAGAAGTTATGGAAGAAGATAACTAATATTCTTCACCATTTGTTTGGGATCTTTTTGGGGGCAGAACTCTTTCTTCCATTTACTTGACCTGCTATCACTACTTAGCTTTTCTTTCCTTTGGTGGTGGAACTTCAGTGTGTTACAATGGCCAGAGAAAGCAAGTTGATGCATTCTGGTGTTCCTATTGAGTCATTAGAGAAACTCTGTTTTCTGAGCTCAAATGATAATCTGATAATATGTTTATGTTTGGGATTCTGACTTTTTGTCCAAACTGTTTTTCCCTGTTTCATGAGGGTCAATCAATCAATCAATCAATCAATCAATCAATCAATCAATCAATCAATCAATCAATCAATCAATCAATCAATCAATCAATCAATCAATCAATCAATCAATCAAATTTTATTTGTATAGCACATTTCAGCAGCAAGGCATTTCAAAGTGCTTTACATCATAAACACAAAAACACAATGTCATGCAACATAGAATCAACAACACATTGTTCCATCATTACATTTTTAATTGATTACGTTTCAAATCAAACTCTAAACAGGTGTGTTTTTAGTCGAGATTTAAAGGAAGTCAGGGTTTCAGCTTTTTTACAGTTTTCTGGAAGTTTGTTCCAAATTTTTGGTGCATAGATGCTGAAAGCTGCTTCTCCTCTTTTGGTTCTGGTTCTGGGGATGCAGAGCAGAACCAGAACCAGAACCTGAGAGTCTGGAAGGTTGATACAACAACAGCAGATCTTTGATGTATTGTGGTGCTAAACCGTTCAGTGATTTATAAACTAACAACAGTATTTTAAAGTCTATTCTTTGAGCTACAGGGAGCCAGTGGAGGGACTTTAAAACTGCTGTTATGTCTCTATCTTCCTGGTTTTAGTGAGAACAGGAGCAGCAGCTTCTGGATCAGCTTTGATTGATTTGTTGGACAGGCCTGTGAAGACGCTGTTGCAATAATCAATGTGACTGAAGATAAACGCATGGATGAGTTTCTCTAGATCTGGCTGAGACATTAGTCCTCTAATCCTGGAGATGTTCTTCAGGTGATAGAAGGCCGACTTTGTAATCGTCTTTATGTGGCTCGCAAGGTTCAGGCCCGAGTCCGAGGTCATAATAAACGCCCTATTGGGGTTCAAAACACGACAGATTGAAATCATTATGCTTTTAAGCATGAATGTTGTTCTGTTTTTGTAGGCAGTGAGAATATTTTGGGTTTTAGATGCGTTTATGAGGTTCTTTGCAGTGAGAGAATCTGAGCGTAAAATTTGTTGAATTTTGAATCTTCTGTTTTCCTCTTTGCAGTAAACATATTGAGTGTTGTCAGAATTAGAGTTTCTGCCGGAATTATTCTCTAACTTTCTCCATCTCTTAAGCAGCTGCTGGTTTGCTCATTGAAAAGATTAAACAAAAGTGTAACATTAATTTATTTTCCAGAAGTGTTTTAAAATTGTCCCTTAATGAGAACATTTAACATTGAAGAAGAATATTTTCTTCTTCTACATTTGCATACATTGACCTTTTGTATCCTCTTTCCTGCAGATCCAACCTTCATCAGCTCCAAGTTCATTCCACATGAGGAAAAAATCTACTTTTTCTTCAGTGAAGTGGGCAGAGAGTATAACTTCGTAGATAAGTTCATTGTCTCTCGTGTTTCTCAGATCTGCCTGGTAAGTTCAAAGGACTTAGATCATCATGTAAAAGAGCATAAAAGAAAAAAGCAGGAGAAAGGCAGCTAAAAACTCATCCAAAAGTTGCAAAATAGTGAAGATGGAAACACTGAACTCTGACCTTGGGCAACAACACACAGATAATCACAGTGATCACCCAAGTTAGGAGCAAAGAGAGTTGGAAACTTTTGAAACTACTTTGAATAGTTACCTGGTCATGTTGTACTGTTTGATAACTAGATCAACTGGAATGGATGTGTGACTGAATTGTAATGATTTGTTTTTGTGAAGTGCCTTGAGTGCATAGCATTTGCTACATAAATAAACTGAAGTGAATTGAGTTGTGGTAGCTAAGTGTTCAGCTAGAATTTAAATCGATAAAGAGAAAATTTCCGTGGTGATTAATCCAGCAACCAGCAGGCAGTTTAACACCTGCGTATGGCTGTAGAAGCATTCTGCCATTTTTCATACATATGAAGCACTTCTGAACATACAGCCAAGTTTAGAAAAAAAGCACACAGTCTTTGAAGTCTATAGTTTCACTTACCTGGACATAATGAAAAATATCAGAAATAAATCAAATCTAACTTGAAGTAAAGAATGTACTGCCATTGCTTATTGAGTGAAAATTAAATATGAAGCTAAAATGATCATAAAACTAGATTCACTCTTGATGCTTGTATGACAGCAGCCAGGTGGAGCTGATCAAATCCACTTGATCAGGATCTGTAAAAGCTGGAATAAATGCTGTTTGCTCCTCTGGAACACACAGACATGTGTGTTAACATGAAATTATAATGGAAAGACAGCAGGAATAACTTCCCATCAGTGTAGTGAACGGTAAAATGTCACCTAACCGTCTGTAAGTCATATGTACACTATGGAAGGTAATTCCCAAATGGAAAACATTTATTCAGCTCTCAGTCTGATTCTTCCTCATCTAAATGAAATCCAAAAGTAAATGTATTTTGGGATCATATCTAAGCCAAAGCTTAGATATGATCACAATCCAAACATAAAGCACGGTGGCGGGGTGTTAATGATTTGGCTGTGAAATGCTCAGTAGTCTGAATCAACTTTTTCAAGTGTTTTTCCTGTGACCCGTCAGAGTGACGTCGGAGGTCAGCGCACTCTGCAGAGACGATGGACCACGTTTGCCAAAGCTCAGCTTTTGTGCCAAGATGGCAGCGAGCTCCCTTACAATGTGATCCAGGATATTGACGTGCTTCCACCAGCAGAGGGCGCTTCAGTGGATGACACACTGTTTTACGGCATCTTCACCTCTCAGTGGTCAGTGATGCAGGTTCTCTGGCTCCAGGACTGTTTCCCTGGTTACTCCAGGATTGTGGACGGGGCTTCAGGTGGATTTGGTTTAATCTGGTCGACATCCACAAATTAGAGCAGGGGTGCTCGATACGTCGATCGCGATCTACCGGTCGATCGCGGGGAGGTTTTGAGTCGATCTCTGCAGCGGGTGACAAACTGAAGACCTCCAGGATGCTGAGAGCAGCACTTCCTCTTCTGACAGGCTTATCAAAAATATTCACTAAGATCCAAAACGTTTGTAGCTTCATTAAATAATATTAAAGCCTGGAAGCCTGATATCGTAACGGACTGAACGTTTTAACGTAATCTTTGCTCGGCTTGCGGGCGCAGGCAGTTGCCACGGCAACAGATGTGCTTAACGATAAAGAGAGAAAGAGAGTAAAAAGGTGCGAGTGGTTCTGAGTTGATCACCTGTTCAGGTTATTCTACTTTGTTTACCTTCGCTGTGGTTCATCACAGCCGCTGGAGTTTCTGAACGTTCAATAAACGACAAACTTGGACTAATGACCTCGTTCGTTTGCAGTAAACGTCACAACCAACATCAAATAGGACACATATATGTGATTAAATTTTAACAAACAAATGGCTTCCACAATAATTATGTCAAATTACATTAAGATTTGCCTTTACCTCTGCAGAGCTCTTTGGTTCCTCCCATCAGTCTGCAGTTTCGCATATTGACGTCATCAAACCAAATTTCAGATCTACCATAACTGACTGACAGCTGCTGGCCTCAGGTTCACAACCAGCTTCTGACTGAGAAACCAGTAACCTGATCCCAGTGTCAGAATCTCACTGAGGAAGAAACTGCATTAAGCTTTTTATAACTTTATCATTTCTGATATAACTGATGTATATTTGCATAGAAAATTAGTCAATAGGGTTTCATTTATAATTTGTATGTCTTCATGTCATGAGGTAGATCTCAGCCGGCTGGTGAGAGAAAAAGTAGATCTTGGTCTCAGAAGGTTTGACAGCCCTGCAGTAGAGCATCAATTTAATACCCGTTTCAATAGAAGATGATGCAAAAACATCATCCTACTCTTTTAAATTAGTCACTCTGTTAGGCTTTCTGAGTAATTTCAGCTGAGCCACATCAGTTTCAGTAATACAGCAGAAAAGTTTGACATTTGACCTTTGTTTGGAATAAACCAGTTTCTACTTCTTTTTAAAAGGTTTTATTGGCTCTTTATTTGACAGTAAATTGGGTAATCAGAGATAGGGGAAGACATGCAGCAACCGTCACCAGGCTGGGAATCTAATTTGCGACAGCTGTGTCGAGGGCTAAGGGTTGTACTTAACCCCTGCACCACCTCAGTACCCCAGCTTCCAAAAAATGTTTGTTTTTAACCAGTGACCTCACATCATGTCATCAACACCCCATTTATCTTTTAACCCTCCTCAAAAGGCTTACAAGGCCTTTAAGTCTTTTAAGGCCTTTTAAGGCTTAAAGACCTTAAAAGGCTTGAAGGCCTTTTAAGCCACTTTGGGATCAATTTTACACATTGTGCTCTAAAATATATTTTATAATGCAAGATTTTAAATAATTCTCACTGGAGATTCTTAAAAAGTAGATGCCAATGAGGGAAAGTTTGACATCTTTATCAAACTCAGACTTTGCCTTTGTACAAATTTTTATTTAGGAGCTTCTCAAAGATGATTTCTACAGACATCATCATTGTTATTTATTTATTAATAGTTGTTTTCTATAACACAGGACTGTGAGCTCTGGAAGGTCAGCGGTGTGTTCCTTCACTCTGACTGAGATCAAATCCGTTTTCTCTGGGAACTACAAAGTCCTGAACCGAGACACGTTACAGTGGAGCGCAAGAGTCCAAGAGAAGGTGGCAAACCCAGGAGAGGTAAAACAAATCACACCGAGAATCTGATCAATTACTCTTGGCATTTCTTTATTCTTTGAAAATGGAAAACTCACAGGGTAATTTGCATATAAAATGAAAAATGTAAGTCTTGAAGAGCTGTCTTAATTCCAACCTGCAGCACCTTCAGGTTCTTGCAGTGGAAATGCACCTTTGCAGGAACCAGGGTAGTTTTTTTCCCACATCCCAGTTTTATGTCACACATCACATAAAAGTGGGTAGAAATCTTCCCTAACTACAGGTGGAGCTTCGTAATGGAGGGCTGCGAAACATTTCTCACTGGTTTCATCCTCTTAGTATTTTGTTTCTTCCATTTCCAAGTTTAATATTGTATTAGTTATACTTTCTGTTAACTTTAAATAACTCAGCATGAGTGCTGTGTTTTTATACTGTTACAATGTTTTGCAAATTCAGCATTTCAACTAAAATGTATTACTCAGTGTTTGCAATTTAGTACATTGAGAACACAAGCCACTCTATGTAGAAATAAAGGCAGTATGGACTGCAGCATCTCCATGGAGACAGAGAGTTGTGCTCTCATTAAAGCCTTTAAGAGTTTTATCTGGTCAAGTTAAATTAGTTTTTAGCATTTATGTTCTCAGATTAACGTCACTTCAATGTGCAGGGCTGAGTTCAGGCTGGACTGGAGTGGACACACTGCTACTGTGTGAAGACGATGTTCCTACGATACACAACAATATGTAACTCATAGACTTCATAAAGATCTGTGGATTATTCCAAACACATACACAGAGCTCAACCACTCCCAAATTGCCACTGCCATTATATGTAAATTCAGATCCTTAGAAGCAGAAGTGAAGTGGTAATGTTAATTCTCAGGTTGCAATTGAATACAATGATTATGATCCTTATTAAAATCTGCGTCAAAATTTGTTTTTGTGTGTCTGTTAGTGTGGCCTGCACAATGCCTCAGATAACGCACTGCGCTTTGTGAAAGAAAACTTCCTGGCAGAGGACAGCGTGCGTCCGGCTGGAAGACGCCTGACCTTGGTGTCTCGTGAGCACACCTACAGCCACCTGACAGTTCAGAGAGTCCAGGCTGCCAATAAAAAGCTCTACACTGTCCTGTTTCTGCTAACAGGTGAGCCATGAGTCACGACATATTGTTTCCCACTGCCAGAGGAAAATGTTTAAAAGTTTACCGTCATTTCTCTAAGGGTTTGTTTCAGAACACGATTTGTTGCCCTTACTGTCTTCCAGAGTCTGGTCACTTACACAAAGCAGTGCTGCTCCAACAGGGGCCCTACATCACAGAGGAGGTTCAGGTTTTTAAGTCTCCTCAGCCAATCAGGAGCCTGAAGCTGTCTATCCCAAAGGTACAAACTGAGGCACATTCAGTTTTATGTTCAGATTTTTTTCTCATCTATTTTTGGTCATAGACTTTAGCTAGATCCTGTTGAACATCTATAATGTTCACCTCACAGGTCAAAAATATGACCTGTTTGTTTAATAAGAACTTATTGTGTTAATACAGGGTATGCTGTTCATGCACTTTTAAATGCATCACTCATAATGCATTCAAAAGTGCTTAAAAAGTAGTCCATTCAAGTCCCAGCCTAAAGGACCTGAATGGACTGACAGCTACAGTCTCCATGGTGGTGAGACAGCCAGAAGACAGTCAGTTAATATTGCATAAATCCAAATAGACCAACCGAGTGATTGCATTGATGTGAAACTGAAATGACATTCTGCAGGTTGTTTATGGATATCATAATGGAAGAATGTGGCATTCTGATTTCTGACTCTCAGAAAATGAAAATTCCAGTTAACATTGACATTACCTATGGCTGGGCAATAAATCCTCTTTATCGATTAATCAAATTTTCTGTTTATGACGATTTTATTTTTTTTACTAATGCGCTCCTTTTGTTTCAGAGTGATGTCAGCCCACCCATGTCCGCCATCTTGTTTTACAAGCATGTTTTACAGCTTATTTTTAAGCTAAGTTTATGGAGTCTACCTCATGTCTTGAGGTCCATGTAATGAGTCTGTTTGGGTTGCATTGACCATCAGACAATGATCACTTCTGAATGGAGCACATTTACTGATTCTCTGAATTACATGAGTGATGCATCAAATAACTTATTTTTTTAAGTTGGTTGTTTTTCATAGTGTCCTTCTCTAGCAGCTGTTTGCTCAGTGCTTGTTTCAAGGACTTGCACTTATGTTACATGAAGGATCAGTGGCTCTATACATGTTGAAACAGTGACTGGTCACACCAGGTTTGCAGAAACATGACTGACATTATTACTTTGTGGAACAAATGTTGCACTGATTGATTACTCATTGTGTTAATACAGGGTATGCTATATGTTGGAACATCAGAGGGGGTGGTGAGGATTCCAACTGCTAACTGCTCCTACTACTGGACCTGTGCCCAGTGTGTTCTTTCCCGGGATCCTTTCTGTGGTTGGGATGCAGCCAGCAGGGCCTGTGTGGAGGTCTCTGTCGCCCAGACCGCGCTGTGAGTCCCACGCTGCCACCATGAACATGGGCTGTCAGTAGTATGTACTGTTAGGTGATATAGGGAACAACATTTTTACAGCAATTTCATATCAAATTCATTATGTGCTGTATGATGGTAAAGACATGGTAACCATGGAGATTCTATTTCTGGGTAGATAGACTTGTTTTATATGAACATGTAACCTTTACCTAATTCCTCCACAGCACCATTAGAATTAAAAAAAAAAAGATTCAGCCCCAGAGCTTGCTTTAGCCGACAGTCATGACATTCTCTATCTTGACAGGACTTACAAAAAAGTCTCTTGGAGCCATGGCCTCTCGCCAACTTCCCATAGGAAGTCAACTATTTTGGATCAAAGCCGCCATTTTGTGTGTTTTACACATGTTGTATCTGAGAGAACTCCTCCTTCAGCTTTTGGGATCCAGGCTTTGCAATCACTCAGCACATTGGAGACATTGAAGGTCAAAAATTATCAAATGCTTTTGGCTACATCAAAGCATGTGGATGTGGCTAAGTCTCAAATCTGACCATTTGCCATAAAACATTAAGGTAGAATAACTTCCACACAAGTCCCAGCTGCCGGAGACTTTATGTCTGTCATAACCAACCAGCACTGATCACATTCACATGGTCAATTGGTGACATCACCTTAGTCCCACTCCCTTTGAACAACAAGTCACCAGTTTTCCTACTAGTTCTCTTCCTTTTACTCCATGATTTATAAAGATTTGAACCTATGTTCAATGACAATATGAAGCTCAACACTGGCTGCTGGCTGGAGAATCTATGTGGGCACGACTGAATGACTCCAAATCACACATCCATCATCTGATTCGCACCGTACTGGATATGAGTGACCTTTGTTAACCTCTAAAGATGTCAGTGGGATTATATTGGAAGTTGACTCCTGTGCTTCCCACCCCCAGGTTATTTGAACAACAATATCTCCCTGAATATACTAACTCATCTCCACCAGGTTTTTGGTGCATCATCAGGAAGCACTGTGCAACACATTGGTGTGCAGAACCCAGTGGACCGGTGCATGAACTGCGCTTGAGCATTAATGACAGCATATGGGTGGTGTAGCTGGGGCTCCCGTGGTTGCAACAAGAGTGGAGCAGCGCTGAGCTGCAAAGGCTGTTTGGAGCTTTAATTCTGTTAAACATCCACTTGTTGACTGTACTGTCCTCTCTTTAGAAGCCAGGACATAGATGGAGGAAATGTTGAAGAAGCCTGTAACAGTGTTTTATTAACACACAAAACTAAATTTGGACCAAGTAAGATGCCCACAGGTAAGATGCCCACAGGTAAGATGCCCACAGGTATGTGTCACGCTATGAAACAACCAAGTGGCATCTTTGTTCTGGAAATGTGTTCACTGAGATATTTTATGAAACGCAAAACAGTTTGAAATACTTAATGAGAATCCTTTAATCGTGTATGTATGTATGTATTATTATTATTATTTGAAAGTAGGGGGCAGCAGGTCAGTTCATTAGTTCTTACTGTAAGAGTAAGAACTAATGAAATTGGTCTCTAAAATGTACTGGCAACCAGTGAAGGGAAGCTAAGCCTGCAGTAATGTGTAATCTTCTTCTGGTTCCCCTTAAGTCTTGCTGCAGCATTTTGCACAATCTGAATTTGTTTAATTTAGTCAAACAAACTAAAACAACAATGTTTCAACAATATAGATATGTATTGATAAAAGCAAGGGTAAGTTTAACTTTTAACAACTTCAACAGGTGTTTATGTAATGTTCTCCATTACATAAACACCTGTACAGTTGTTTTACATAAATCTGTTGTCGCTTATTAAATCTTTGTACAAAACCATAATAACGGCAAAGATTTTAAACCTTTCTGTGTTTTAAATGAGGGTATTTTATGCGTTAGCCTGCCAGCAGTAATAAATAGCAATAATGCATTCAATCTATGGTCATATTTGTGTTCATCACCAGTCAGTCTGCAGGTTTTCTCTGCTCTGATCCATGACTAAGCTCCAGCCTGTTTGTCAGCCTCGTGTCCTGCAGGTGAGCTGATCTCTGTGTCTCTGAACGACGTGGTGCGGCTGCACTGTCCTGCAGCGTCACAGCTGTCCCACCAGCTGTGGGAGCGTCCAAACAGCCGCCTGTCCTCAGACCTCTACCTCCACCTGCAAGATGGGAGCCTCAGCTTTGTGGCCACCCCAACCACCCTGGGCCACTACCTCTGTCTGTCCACAGAGAACGGCTACCGACAGACCATGGCCATTTATCATATCAAGCAGAAGAGCAGCCCCATGGCTCAGACTCCAACCAGCTCCACCAGGAGCCACACGCGTGCCCAGCCCACCAGGGAGGGACCTAAAGCGACAGAATCCAGACCAACAGGGACAAAACCCTCACTGTCTCTGGGAAACACTCCAGTCACCACTCAGCAGCTTGATAGAAATGTAACTTTGTGGTTGAAAGAATATGAAAATCTGGAAACAAAATTCCGTGATGGGAACCCGCTGCTGTCAGCCCACTGCCCCAGCTACCTGAAGGAGCTGGTGGTGGTCTCTGTTCTGCTGGTGCTGTGCCTCAGTCTGCTCATCACAGTCTCTCTGTATGTTCTCAGACAGCAGTGGCGGAGACAGACTGCATCTGGAATGGTAACTCCAAGCAGGAGCTCTGACCGGAGGACCAGTGAGGAGCAGGAGGCCTTGAGGGAGAATGAGTTTGGGAGCAAAGCCAATGGTCAGGCGCCCTCTGGTGGACATGCCAGTGGCTTTGTTTGTAATGGGAACCTTACAGACTCCACCCAGAACTTGCCAAACACTCCTTTCTGAGCAGCAGCCAAAGAGTCTTTTGAGCTCCTACAGAGCAGAGCACCATGGAGGGAGAATGTTCCAGTAGCAGGGTTCATTTGGTGAGCGCTGCACAGGAACAGTACAGGGTAAAGTTTGACTTCCTGAGTGTTTTGAAGCCTGAGTGCTGCACAAGTGGCTGCCCCACTTGTGCTTTTTCAAGGGAACTTGATCTTTTCCGATACAAATGAATGGTAGTTGGATCGAGCTAAGTCTTTAAACCACATCTGAGATCTGACTGTTAGCTCAAGTCTAATGACACAGGTAAAAACTGTTTTATGAACTGTTAGCAGTTCAACTGTAGGTCAGTAGCTGTTAGAATGCTGCTGAGGTAACAGGGATGTGATGGTAGATGGAGCAGTTGTGATCAGACGGTGTTCCACACCTCACTGATGTGCCTTGGATGCATTTTTAAAGATGTTCAGGTGGAGTTCTTATCACTTTATCTGATTTTCTTTTCATCACATCCTGGACTTTTTTATCTGAGTGATATTCCTAAACTCCTGTTCTGATGACAGAACAGGATTCATCAATAAACCATCAATAAACCTGCTCATCAAAAAACCAACTGCTCTGGCAAAGGAGTGTTTTTGATGCATTCGTCCCAGTGGATCCTGTACAGTCATATCTGTAGAAGAAGAAAGAATCATAAAATAGGATATGTTGTCATGGAAAAAAAAACTTTCCAAGCACTGCTCAGGTAGAATCACTCACTCAGGTTTATTCATGCATTGTGCACAATACAGAGAGCTCATGAGACAAGTTTTTATACAATGATAAGGAAGGAAAATAAGGGGCAAGACGGTCTGGTCCTTATGCAACTGTGGAAAACAACCTTCCAACCTCGTACATGTAAGTCAAATAGTTCTTTTGGTGAGACATACTTCTTTAGAACAAATCTACAAAATATAAAATTGCATCTTCATATGACATGACTAGCAGATACGACCTTATTGTAATTATTCCAGGACAATGTGTAGGAGAAGCATTCTTCTAATCTGTCCTTCATTAATATTCCAATAACTTTTTCTTTGTGCTTCATTTTTTATTGCAAAACGAACTAAGAAAAACTTAAACCAACACTGAGTCACACGAAGAAATATCCATTCAATGCCTACAGAGTTCAGTTGAGTTGATCTCATGTGACATGTGGTGCGTCATCAAACTGTTCCTGCAGTTCATTGTGAGATTCAGGAAGAGAAGGCAACATGGAGGCACACAGCTGAGGATTAGTCACTCTCAGCATATCAGAGCACAGTCTAGCTTTTACCAGTTCTACCTCCTTGTACAATACTTAGTGACAGTTCTTACTAAACTAGCCATTTAAATGCACATAGCTACTAGAATGCTCATTGACTAATAACAACTGTCAATTAATTTCAAAAATACTTTAAAAATCTCAGAGGGAAAATAAATGCAGCATTTTGGTGCAGTCACTGGAGGAAGTAAAAGGCCCAGCATGGTCAGGCTGGAGTCAAACTGCTGGCATGTGCTCACCTGGTTTATAATGTTTGTTTTTGTACATACCCTTCAAGGTCCACAGTGAACCCTCCCCCTGCAGAGAATGTCATGGTGATTTGGCATATGTGTAATTCACAAGCGTACAATAAACACAGGGAGTCTGGAAGGGAGGAACAACTGCTGCGAATTTACAACTTCAGAAGAGGAAGAAAAATGGCTGAGCAATAAATCAATGATATCTGACACAATAGACATGTGATCAGTGTTAATAGGGAAAACATCTGATAAAATATTCATCATATACAAGATACAGTGAATTCTTATCCAGATCCACACAGCATTCTGGGGGATTTAGGGATACCCAGCGAATCAAGGTTGGTGGCATGAACAAACTTACTCACTCTTTGGTTACTTAGCAACAACTTGGTAAGAAAGTTGCACAGCAGCAGTATCAAGTTTTGCACTCAGAACTGCTTAGAAATAAAAAACATTGTGGAATGAAAACTGCATTAAACAGTTAAAGTCACTTTTTAATGCACCAGTTTGGCAATATTTCAGATATTTAAAGCAAAAACTAATCAATAATTACATCAACAATTACTGATATAGCTGATATGAAACATTCTGATACTGTATTTTCCAGATGTTATCCACTGTAATATCTGGAAAATAGGCTGCTACTTTTTCAAACACTTTGAACACAGCAATGTAGCTAATACACATTTTTACCATTGAGTTTCATGCTCTTCCTGCATAATGCAAGAGCAAATTTGTCTCGAGACAAAAGTGACACAGAGCACCAAAGAGAGACAGAGGAAGTGAATGTTAGACTGTTCAATTTCAACAGAGGAAAACGGCAAAATGGTTTTGGTGCGCAGGATTGAGATAAAGATGGTGATCAATGATTTTTCTGGGAGGCTACAGAATTTTATTATGTTTTTTATTAAGCAGCCATATTCTGACCATTGTTTGGAAGATATATTTATAATATGTATTTGTGTGTGTAACCAGAACCTATTTATTTTAAAAGGTAAAAAAGACATTTTTCTGTATAAATAACCATAACAATGTGGACACCTATACATGTACTTCTGTTTTCTTTTCAGTTAGTGGGAGCAGCTGACATTCATGTGGGCTCAGTTGTCCAGAAACAACAGAACTTTCTCTCCTTATATCTTCCTTAATGTTGCATGATTTGGGAGTTCACTCTGCAACGATCGTTTTTTTAAAGCAGTACATTTAACATATTTCATAAACTATTTTGTTAAGATCTTGTTTTGGAAATTCATAATTTTTTTAATGATGCTTTTACAAAAGCTGAAAAGGAAATACATCTCTCACTATTTACTTTAATAGACCTTGGTCATTTTGTATTAGAGGATTCATATGAATCCTTAAAATCCTTGAAAATGTTTGAATTCCAATTAGGTATTTTCAGTGTTTGAAACTGGAAGAATAGGAAGTCTGAGGGTGAAGCTGCCACCCTCTCGACCTGACCCAGATAAGTGGACCCTCTCGACCTGACCCGGATAAGTGGACCCTCTCGACCTGACCCAGATAAGTGGACGGACGGTAAATGTAAATCATTTACCATTCTTTGCTTATTTGTTGAAATTTCCTCTATTATCTACATTAATTAGATTTGTGTTGCTGTTGTTCAGTCCAGAACAACAGCACTGCAGCTCTGTCCTGCTGCCTATTTCCATCCATCCATCCATCCATCCATCCATCCATTTTCTTCTGCTTATCAGGGATCAGGTCATGGGGGTAGCGTCTTAAGTATTTGCCAGATTACTAATCTAGCAGAAACAGTTCATCCACCGACAGTTTCTAATTACACTGTGCTAAAAAAATGGTTAAACCTAATGTCCACTGTGATAGTGGAAATGCGGTAAACAAATAGTTTATCCACGTTTGGATGTTCACATCAATCCATTCTGATGTCAGGGCAATTACCTCATTTTTCTGAAAAAGAACCACTGCTTGCAGTTCATTGTGGGTTTTGTGCTCCTGAAAGTCCACATTCTAAAATCACCTCCAATGAAAACATCTTTAAACAAATTAAGACACTCTTCAAACAACATTGAGTCATACCAAGAAATCTTCACCTTATATCCACATTATTCACAGTTCAGTTCACAGTGACACCAGGTGTTACATGTTTATATCATGTGACACTTGGTGCGTCACCAAGCTGTTCATACAATTTATTGTAAGGCTCAGGAAAAGAACCAAACAAAGAGGTTATGACGAACAGTTGAGAATTAGTCACACTGGACATTATCAGCTGATATTTACTAAATCCCACAAAATGATGTTGATCTTATGGGTTATTTGATTCCTTTGGTCGGGTTTCTCTCTTTCGTTTTGTCAAAGATTATAGGGAAAAAAAGCTTTTAAGACTTAATTGTAAATTAGTAAGTTCAATTTTGTGACTACAATGTATAAATATTACAAGGCAAGAATTCAACAAGACATACGGAGAGTTGGGTAACTAGTTACATTTGCTCAATTATATTTATTTAAGTAACTTTTTGGAGAGAAAAAAAATTATATATGTGTGTGTGTGTGTGTGTGTGTGTGTGTGTGTGTGTGTGTGTGTGTGTGTGTGTGTGTGTGTGTGTGTGTGTGTGTGTGTGTGTGTGTGTGTGTGTGTGTAAAATTATAGGAGTATTTTAACTGTGCTGTACTTTTTTATTTTACTTGAGTGTTTTTATTATGAAGTACTTTAGTAAATTTTCTGGATTCTCCTCCCACTGAATGAAAAAATAAGAAATTCATCAAGACACCCACCTACCGTTTATGTTAAAGTTTCATATCTCTTATTTAGAAAGAAACTGATTTGGGAAAATGTTCTTTTGACTCATTTTGTAATTTTTGTTACTTATGTGAATTATTTTTATTTTGGTCCCTAACATACTAAAATTTCCACTTGACTTTATATTTTGGTCTGTCTGATGATATATTTTTTAAATGCTAAATGATTGATTATCTGATCAGTTATTCAATATTTGAGTAGACCTTTTACCAATTACATCTTCACTCTTGCTTGAGTAATTTCTAGAAAAGCTACTTTTTACTTTTACTTGAGTAAAAATATGTTGACTTAGTGCTGCTCTTACAGTTTTTGGATTCTCTTTCCACCTCTGTATACATGCCATGGTTTATTGAGCCAGGAGAGAATTTTCCCCTCAGAAATTCATATCAATTAACATTCAGCTGACATCTTTATTTATTTTTTATTTTTAAAGTCCTTTTAGACAATGTGTGTGTGAAGTGGTGCTATGTCACAAAACTGCCTTAAAACTCGAGGCAGTTCGAGAGGGAAATAAATTGCATGCTCAACTCAGAAGAAGCAATTTGACAAAAGAATCTCATCAAAAATAACAAAAAATATGTCAGGCAAAATATGTGGATTGTAAACAACAATAGAGAGGTAACATCTAACTTTATGTAAACTTTTAAACACACAAAAATTGATGAGTCAAAATTACTAAAGCGATAAGGTAATGTTATTTGAACAACTAAGGTTTTTTTTTGTTCTAGCTCAGACATAAATATCAAAAGAACAAAACGTGGGTTTTAGTACAGCAGGTCACTAACCTTGCAATAGTGCACTTACATGGTAAGATTATAAGCATTTCACTCTTTCAAATATGTTCTTTTATTCTCTGAGCTTTGGGACAGAAGCTTAACAAAGCAGTACATCTGTTCTGATAAATGTCAACAGCATAATGAAATTTAATGAAATCATTTTAATCACAAAGTTTGTTCTACTTGCACATATAATAGTAATTGTTAGTTTCATCTGATCATTACGTAATGCCAGCGCATATGTGCTGTTGATGTTGGTTAACCCCTTAGCCAGCAGCTGAACGCCTGCATTCCATTTTTACTTCTGCTACACTTTAGAGCATCCTGCACGGTTTCTGTCATAACATATGTAACATTGTGATCATTATAATGATGCATAAAAAAATATAATTTATTGTGAATCATTATCATGTTTAATTTATTTAAAGTTAAGGATTCAGACCTGATTGGGGACTTGCCTGTTTGATCTTTGGACTTGACCTGGACATTTAAAGTCTGATTGGGACTTGACTCAAGACTTGGGTAGAGACTTAAGCCTAACTTGTGACTTGCAAAGCAATGACTTGGTCCCACCTGTGCTATTTATATTTACAAACAGATGATGCAATTGGTTTCAAATGGCGCAAGAGGAGCACCTGGGTTTATGCCATTAGCAGTTGATGTGTTTTTCATCATTACTTTTCCTATTTTAAATGCTTGCGTGTCTGTGTTTGTTTTCTGTCACTACATGTTCTATGTATTTTCACTCTGTGCTTCTACAGCACCTGTGACTCACAGATAAACAACACAGCAGGCAGTATGTGATGTAATGCAGCATGCATATAAGTCCGCATGGTTACTTAGTGTATGACTGTCTGAGGATAAAGCAAAACCAGAAAACACCATACAAATGAAAAACCACATGCAATCACATGGATGTTTAGGGATGTTTCAGTATGCACTCTATAAGTGATTTTCACCATTTAGAAGTCCAGAATTGTAAGAATTTTTTTAGAATATATGCTGGTTTTTATCTCTATTTTTGCCTATAAGTGAAAAACTTAGGCAAGACCTGAGTTGTTTTTACCACTGGCATATAGAGTATGTCATTTCCAAAGTCCAAGATCTCTTTTTTCCTGTATGGGATCTTCTTGAGCAGCTTATATGCCACTGTTACACTCAGCAGGACAAAACAGAGCATTCGCAATGCCAGATCATTGGTGCACAGCAGCAGCTTCACTTTGAACAAAAGAGAAGATGCAGAAAGAGATGGACAGTATCTGCTGGGAATAAAAAGACTTAGAAGACTTTACTGTAACGTGGGCATCGGCTTCCATATTCAGGTCCTACCAAATGGAAAAATAACAGGAGTACACAATGAAAACAAGTACAGTAAGTATTTTTAAACATTTCATGATAAAATAAAGATTAATGTAAGGAATTTGTCAGATAATTTATACATTCTGAATGAATTGATATTTAACATTTTTCATTTTTACATTAATGTGATTTATTTAATTGCAAAACAATTAATTGATTACAGTTGTGATGTTATTTAGAATGAAGGAAATTTGAAATATGTCTCCATATTGGACCGCTTTGTGTCAAGGTGTGGGACAATCTTGAATGTAAACAAACAAAGGAGATCATTTTAGATTTCAGGAGGAACAGGGTTACATCACATCCATCATTGGAAAGGAAGTGGAGGTGGTTAAAGAATAGAAATACCTCAGTGTTCATCTCGACAACAATCTGAACTGGAGACCCAACAGTGAAGTGTCTGTAAGAAGAGACAGAGCAGTCTGGACTTACTGAGGAAGCTGAGATCCTTCACAGTTTGTAGTAAGATGCTTCAGATTGTCTGTAAGTCTGTTGTTGAGTTTCATCTCTTCTGCTGCCACCTGTTGAGGCAGAAGCATCAGAACCAGGGCCCTGAAAAAGCACAGCAACCTGATAAAGACAGTTGGTTTTGTTCTGGTTCTGCTCTGGTTCTGTTCTGGGAATGACTGTAGAGCCTCTGGAGATGATAGTGCAGAAAAGAATTCTTCATAAAATAAAGAAAATTATCGACAGCTCTGACCATCCTCCTTATGAGACTGTCTTATAAAATGGAGTATCTTCACTAGGGACTTCTTCAAATTCATTCCAATAATGACTGCTACAGGAGTTGTTTTCTGCACACAGACTTCACTATCTGCAATAATTCTTTAATTAAATGAGCTACAAAAATATTTCATTTCCTTTTTCATCCCTTAGTTTTTTAATTGTTTATGACATGTTGGTGAAAATAATAAAATTTAAATATATGTCATATAAGTCTTCTCGAGCAAAATGTTTACACAAGTTGTAATAATGTGTGAGGCATATATCTCATGAAGAATCCTTTAAAATAAAATGCATTTTCAGATGTAGTAGATGTGCTTGGTGTATTTTGTAGCTTTCTGTTTAGTAACTCATCAATGAAACTAAAACTTGATGCAGACCCATGCCATCTAATGTTGCAGATTTCAACACCAATCAACATTAATATGTTATCTGTTGCTCTCTGTGGTCAATTTGCTTAAGTTCATTAGTGTACTTCTGCTCATTTTCACAATAATTATGCTGTGAGGTCAATATTTGAGGGACAGAAAATATCACAAACAACTGTTCTTTGTCTTTATTCCAACTTGGGAGTAAGAATTATTTCTGTTCACATTGGGTTTCTCTGTAATCTTTAACTGCTGTTCTTCCCTCCAGGCCTTTTAGAAATTTCTCCAGTGGAAAGAGGAGTTGTGACTTTATATGGGGTCAGAAGTGGTCTGTTCATTGCCATGAGTGACAAGGGGAAACTTTATGGTTCGGTAAGATATGCCCTTCTCTGCTTAACTATAGAGGTTTTGATTTAGAGTATTTGGTGTAAAATATTACTTTAATGTGTAATAAATCAGGCATTGGCAGACCATTAACAGTATGGTATAATTTGTTATCAAGATCCCACTCTTTTGTTTGTTAATTGTTTTTTTTATTTAAAAAAAAAAACAACAACAGATCTTTTAATGGAACAAATAGTTTTTGGCTTTGAAAGTTTAATTGTAATTACATTACATTACATTACAATTACTGTAATTGTAATGTAATTATAAAGATTTATAAATAAAGCTTTATAAACTTTATTTATAAAGCACTTTAAAACAACTACAGTTGATACAAAGTGCTGTACAAAAAATAAAACTAAAAACAAATGAAAACTCATACAGTTTAAAACAAACAAACATACAACGTAAAACTAGATCTCGCTGGAGTTGAAAGCCAAGTAAAACAGATGGGTTTTAAGACAAGCTTTAAAAGCAGCACTCTGGACAGCGGGCCACAACATCTTTGCCAGCGATAAAAGTTTTTCTACATGCCTCTTGCTCTGACTTCAGTTGCTTAATATTTGGAAGAATGTACAACATGAACTGAATGGCTTCATTCACTTCCTCCAATGCCATTCTAAACTACAACCTTCTACAGGCACATGATATTTTAAAAATAGCACAGAAAATCAACATCTTTCTTCACAAGCCCTCCTTCTGTTTGCTGAGTGGTTGACATTCAACCAGAGAAATTGACTTCATAGGAAGAAATCTCAGATGGAGCACTGAAAGGAGATGAGAAATAAGTGGAATTGCTGAGGAAGGCGATGGCCAGGGGAGCTATGCTTCCCTTCTCCATCACACCTGAAACAAATAGTTAAGATTTCAAACTAATTTTGCATCTACCCCTATACACAGATTTAGAAACTTTTACAGGGATCATTTGGAATAGTGGTTATAAAGAGTAGTATAAATTTTAATGATTGTTACATTATTATATCATTTTCATTACTATATCACTATAGCAAATGGTCTGTCAACACTAATGTATGCATTCTGTGGTTTCTGATTAAAATGATTACGTATTAGTGCTTGATTTCCAGATTGGGAGAGACAAGGATGGATAAAATCAGAAATTAATACATCAGAGGAAGCGCTCGTGTCAGACGTGTAGGAGATAAAGGCAGAGAAGTCAGACTGAGATGGTTTGGACATGGACAGAGGAGAGACAGTGAATACAGCAGGGTACTGAGGTTGGACCTCCCAGGAAAGAGACCCAGAGGAAGACCAAAGAGGAGATTTATGGATGAAGTGAAAGAGAACATGAAGGTAGTTGTTGTGAGAGAAGAAGATTTGGAAGACATGGAGACGGCTGACTCACTGTGGCGACACTTAAAGGGAAAAAATTGAAAAGAAAAGAAGAAGAAGTGCTTGGTTCCCAGTTAGCACCTGATAAGTTATTAACTTTGTTGATACTTTGCTCATAAGTAAACTCATAACAAAAACTGAAAACTTATTGTTAAACAGAAATATGTGTCTGAATAGAACATATCTGGCCCTATAATGCAAGAGATGGTACTCTGTCATCTCTGTATCGGTTCTTCCTCTGGCATATTTTATCTCACAATCAACACTTCTAGATAAATATACCGCAGGTTCATTTGAGAAGAAGCATTTTAGAACTAGTGAAATAAAATATATAATACAAATAAGACCAACTGAACAATCTTGACTTAATTACTCTGTTTAATGTTTTCTCAGTTTTATGACAAACGTCAAACAGCAATTCTTAGCACCCACACTGCCCCTGATTCTTTCGTCACATGAAGCCGCCTGAATTATGGAGAAAAATTGTAATACAGTTCTGACAGGTCTTGGTTAAATTCATGGTGGAAAAGTTGTTAATAAGGCTTGACTGTTAACCCTCAGAAAATGTCAACTAGCGACTAAGCCAGATCCCAACAGAGCATTTGTAATATTTGTCATATTTTAAATGTCTCAGATGGACATTCCTTTGGAATTCCTTTTCTTTGCCATGCAATTAAATATTTACATTGTGCGTTGAAGATTTATTTTTTCCACTTTTTAAAATAAAAAAGTGAATGATAAGCAAAAACAAGTTGGAAAGTTGATTGTTGTTTTCTGTGGCTCTCTCTTTACTTAGGGAAGCTACAGAGATGACTGCAAGTTCAAGGAGAACCTCCTGGCCAACAACTATAATGTCTATGAATCAGCTTCCCATCCTGGAATGTTCATTGCCCTCAGCAAGATTGGGAAAACCAAAAGAGGCAACCGTGTGACGCCCACAATGACTATGACACACTTTCTCCCCAGAACATAGTGTTTCTAAGCTAACTTTAAGGCACAGATCTTCCAAGAGAACAGTTTGATCATAGATGGAGATTCTCTACAATCTAAAATGTACCAGGACATAAACATATTGTTCACTGTGAATGATTAAAGTTATTTATTGACAAGGATTGGATTCACATTCCAGAAGCAATGAGAATTTTATTTGAAATACTCAAGGTTAAAAAAAAAATCACATGTAGCATTAACAAAGTAGTTGAACTATGTGACAAATCTTTTTTTGATCTGTCTTTGGCTCACCAGACTGCAATTGAGTTCTCCAGAAAATACAAGACAAAATGAAAGTGTGAGCTCAGTCACAGCACTGGTTTCAGAACACACTTCTTCCTGATTCCGTTTTCACACCAGCAGCATGTGCTTCTGGGTCACTAGCTGGAGAAAGCAGTGGAACAAAGATGTCAAATCCCCAGTGCAGTGGGATTCAAAGACAGTGGCCACGTGGAATGAAAATGATTTCACAATCAAGGTCCACAATTTTTAACAAAAGTCCTGTTTACCATCCACAATAACTTGTGATCTATTGCTGCACAACATCAACCAGAGGATCACATTTGTGTTTCTGATGGGCAAAGTTTCCATCTGTTTTTTTTTTCTTTTTCAGCCTAATTCAGTTTAAAACCTCGATTTAAGTAGTCTTACAAAATTTCTAAGGAAACCCAAAAGATTCCACCGAGTTATTGACTTGCAGCATTGGTTGAGCACATAGCAACAATTGCTTGCATTCTGTCACTGAATTTGCAGCGATCCCTCATACCGAACATGTATGAAGCGATAGTGGAGAGGAAAAATTCCCCCTTTAATAGAAAGACACCTACAACAGAAGCAGAACCAGGTTCAGCACAAGAATCCATCTGCGGTGGCTGACGGGGGTTTGAGAAGACAGAGCAGAATGCACAAGAAGAGACAGATGAAGTGATGAAGGATTACTTTTGATGTTCATGAAAGTGAAAAGTTAACAGGAGGAGAGGGACAAGGATTAGGTGATGGCAGCATTACCTCAGCCATTGTCGTCCTCCGGGAAAATATAACAGCCAAATGGAGTACCAGACCAAGTGTAGCTTCTGTGGAGAGAAAAATAACAGAGAAAACAAAATGTTAACAGGTGAAATAATAGCAAATGATGCAACTGGAGAAGAGCAGAAGAAGAGAAGGAGAAAAAGTTTGGTTTAATATTGTATATTAGATCTATGTATTGTGCTCTAATAGATTAAATCAATGGAAGCATAACCACAGAAGTAGCTTAGGATAACCTGAGCAAGTCTTACTACAAGCTTTATCAAAAAGGAACATTTACAGTTTGGTTATTGAAAAAACAAACTCCAATGGAATATTGAGTGATGGAGAAACAAAGCACAATATTTTTACAAAGAACTGTAAAAGTACAAATAAGCAGACAAAAATGTGATCTAGTGAAAGCAAAAGTGCCACATCAACATTTTACTTGGGTAAAAGGAAGTAAGTACTTGCTTTTAAAATACTGTTGAATGTATGCAATGGTCTAGAAATATGATTAAGTGTGCTTGTAAGTATATTTTTTTAATAAATCAATAGTATGCCAATTTAATGAACAATGCTGCAAATAATTCATGTTTTTATTGTGTTTGCCTTCTGTGACACAGTTCACACTACTTGTGATTCTGTGCATCAAAATTTCAGTGATGACCTGCAGAGTTAAATACTGCTAAGCAAAATAAGAAAGAGTAATGATGACACCTCTGGAAGTTTTTATTTAACCCAAAACATAACCAGTGTGTTATTTTAACTGCAGTAAGCATATTCAAGTAAATATGGTCTGCCTGAGAAAGGGACATTAGACACAAATGACCACAGAATGGGCACTGATCATTTCCACTGATATTTCAACTCCACTTTATCATTAACTCCATAGATGGTCACACCCAACTGTAGAATGAAAAAAATTGTGAAAAACATTTAGTTTCTGACACCATTTTCAAAACTTCAACATGAGAGTTGCTTTTTGAAGTCATCAAACCACTGCTAAAAAAGAACAATCTGGACAAATCACTACTGCAGAATTACAGGCCGACCTCTGACCTCCCAGTCATCAGCAAAGTTATTGAAAAATCTGTTTGTAAACAATTAAATAGTTTCCTCATGATGACCAACTGCTTTAACTCTTTCCAATCTGGTTTTTGTGCTCACCACAGCACGGAGACTGGCCTAGTCAAAGTATTCAATGATATCCATATAAATACGGACAGAGCTGAACCACAGTGCTGGTTCTGTTGGACCTCAGTGCAGCTTTTGACATATTACTGAATCGACTGGAGAGTTGGGTCGGACTCTCCGGTTCGGTTCTCGACTGGTTTGAATCTTACATAAAGAACAGGGATTTCTTTGTTTCAATGGGAAACTTCTCATCAAAAAGGTCAAAGGTCACATGTGGGGTACCCCAAGGTTCAATCTTAGGACCCCTCTTATTTAATATTTATATTCTCCCACTAGCTCAGGTCATAACAGGAAATAATATTAGCTACCATAACTATGCAGATGATACTCAGCTCTACATTATGATGTCACCAGGTGACTCTGAACCCATCCAATCACTGAATAAATGCTTCAAACAGATAAAACTTAAGTTATAAGTTTATACTGGAATTTTATTGAAAGGAGCTATTTAGAGCTTTAAATTTTTGCAAAAGTGTAGCAGAGATTTGGTCAGTGGCACTAAACCAAAGTCATAGGTAACATTTTAAGTTTATGGGTCTCAACAGTTTGTCTCCTGAGAAAAACACGTTTGATGTGCATTACAACTAGTCATTTTTGGTCCTGCAGCTTGAACGCATTAAAAACCTTTTAAACCACATTACATTTTACTGTAACTTTGCTGAGCTCCCAAAATTGTTCCTAAGAAATTCCCCTGTTCATGGTCTCTCACAATAATGGGATAGGATTTACTCCCAAGCATAATTAGTTCAGGAAATGTAGTCTTTCCAATTCGCTTGCGCATTTCCACCGCCTACACAGCAGAGGCGCTGCAGCCTGCACCGGTAATTTTCTTCACGAAGCAACACGTCATGACTGACGCAACACGTCATGACTGAGCTCAGTCTGTGCCACGCTCGCTACTTCGCTTCTGCTGGAGGAAAAACACTCACGGTAACAGTCTGTCTTTAAGTTGTTTGGGTTGTTTTGTAGGTTACAAACTAAAATGTTTGCTAAACTAATCTGTATTTAGCAATATAATTAGTTTATGTAAAGAATGGGTGGTTTAATGCTTATGGTTGTTCCCACACTGGTTGGTCCACGTAAGCATTTCACTGTGATGTTTAAGACGTCTAATATAAGATTTAGAGTTTGCTGTTTTGTCTGGGAATATAGCAGCAAATATAGCTTCTTTTTTTAAATCAAATATTCCAGCTTTTCGTTTTCCATTTTCCCTGCGCAATCTGTTAAACAATCATTCTAGTCTGTTGTTTCTAAGCTACCCTGATGCTTCAATAGAAAGTGTCTTTCTCCAGGATGACCATGATGCTGCGTGTGTGCGTGCTGCTGGTGGTTCTCGCGCTGACTGCCGCAGAGGAGGGCGCACGGCTTCTGGCCTCCAAGTCTCTGCTAAACCGCTACGCTGTGGAGGGCCGAGACCTCACCCTGCAGTACAACATCTACAATGTGGGCTCCAGGTCAGTGCACGGTTATTGCTAGACATAGAACCGCTCTGCGGTGAAGCTTTGACGATTTTAGTATTCTTCTCTCTCATTAAGGTGAATTCAAATACTCATGTAGGCCTCCAAAACAATCGGCTAGTACTAGAACAAACCAGGGCTGAACAATGATTGAAGAACCACTGCTTGAAGAAAGTGTCCTCTAAAAACTAGCAGTTGGTTTGGGAATTGATTTTGAGTCCATGTTCAGAGGTCCAACTAGCTCATCTTTGATAATGCCAGCCCATACCATTACCCTGCCTCCACCTTGCTGGTGTCTGATGCAAAGTGGAGCTTTGTGCCCATTAGGGTCCATCCATCTGGTCTGTCATGGGTCACTTCTTCTCACCAGTCCATAAAACCTTTGACAACTCTGTCTTCAGAGCTGTCTTTGCCCAGTTTTGACATTTCAACAATGTGTCTTGTTCAGTGGTGGTCAGGTTTCAGCCTCCTATGCCTTGGCCATGTCTCTGAGTTCTGAACATCTTGTACTTCTGGAACTCCAGGTAGGTTGCAGTTCTGGGAGATGATGGGTTCCTGGTAGCTGATTCCTCTCAAATCCATAAAATCAACTACAGTCTCGTTCCGGTCATGTCAAAAGTGCTGGAGAAAATTATTGTAGAACTACTGTTGTATTTAAAAAGTAACGGTCTGCATCCTCTTCACTTTGACTTCAGACATAATCATTCCAGAGACTGCGATAAGTCTGCTGCTTGAAAAGGCTAAACAGTCACTTAAAGGGATAAATTACGGGTGAAGTTTTTCTTAACTTACAAAGGACTTTGATACGGTGAATCACAATTTACTAATCTCAAAGCTTTCATTAATTTGTCAGAACGATCATTGTCTTGTTTTCAGTCATATTGGAAAGATTGTGAACAATGTGTTGTCATTAGTAAATCTGTCTTCTGCAAAATTGAAACAAGGATTTCACAAATTTTATGGATGAGATATGGAACTAATAAGGGACATTATTGTTATCATATTACTGTTGTGACTATTAAATACATCTGAGCCAGCTCTTATAAAGTTCTAACTACATTTAACATTAGATTTCACTGAACCTTTATTGCCCCCAACCCTTAAAGATGCTCTTAAGGAATCTCCTGGTTTATTGCCCCCCAATAGTGAAATGGGATTTTCTCCCTTGTGTGTCCCTCTTCTTGTCTCCTTAGTGCTGCCCTGGAAGTGGAACTTTCTGATGATTCCTTTCCTCCTGAAGACTTTGGAATTGTGTCGGGAATGTTGAATGTTAAATGGGACAGGATTGCACCGTATCCTTGAACTGAATTGCTGTTTGTTGCTG